AACACAATGAGGCTATGGTGAGGCCTCCTCGGGGGAATTATGGTGTCCACCATATTCAATGGAAATTATGGTGGGCAGGTGGTGGATACAACAGGAAGTCTGACCCTCCATTGTTTTTGTGTGTTTATTTCCAGGAATTTGGCACTGACAAGACTGATATGACTTGACGACTTTTGGACCAACCGTAGTAATTGGTGTTTTAGATAATACAGTGAGTTGACAAGAATCATGATAGGTAAATGGGACACAAGAAACATATGATTGTTGTCGCGATAGAATTGACTTAATTTTGACAAGCTAGAAGGTAATCTTACACAGGGATATATCTATGTTTATATGAGTGAGAAGGCATCATATCATTACATATCTTGTGTTTGTATTGTTCATTATTTGAGATGAGATTCATATTGTAACCTCAATACCTGTGTGACCTAATGTCCATCCATGCAGCTGTAGTCTTTTGAACACACGGAACTTGGATTGGTTTAGTGGTGCTGGGGGAGAGGTTGGCGTGAAGATTTCTCAGTGACCGGATATGGTTGTGTCCCAAGGTGTGGCAGTAACTGTGTGTACTATGCAGACTGCTGAACTTTTACAAGGTGGTCTCGGCATGCTCCTCCCCCCCTGTCAGCCCCTGCCAGGCTGTGGTTGCATGTACGGGTCGCCGCTGAAGCAGTCCCCGGCTCCCATTCCTAGTAAGTTTAACCAGCGCTAGACCACTTAGAGGGGTGTTTGATAGTGTGATTAGTCTTGCTCACAGAGTTGAGAAGATCTGAGGGTTTCAACATGTTTGGTTGCAATGTGAAATCTCCAAGGAAGAAACCCCTCTGGAGTACCAATTTTATTGTACTTTGGCTTACATGGTGTGTATTTCAGCACGAGTAATTTTTTGGATGGTCATTAAGGGAAATTTCGAAAGTTACGACTTTTAGTGTTGTATACAGGTTTCAGTTTTTCATATTACTAGAATTTTATTTTTTTGTTTTTTTATTTTTTTATTTATTTGTGTCTACGAGTATTTAATCAAATACTTATTGTATTCTTAGTTTTTCTGACAGGTTACGTATCCCTATGTAAGAACATGGATCAACGGGGAAATCAAGAGTTGGTATCTGTTTATTGTGTTTGTATACATTCATCATTGGTGCATATGATATAATGAAATGAATGTGTTGAAAGTACCTTCTTGATATGCAAAATCCGCCAAAAATTGTGTGAATACATTGTAATGTAGGGCACAGTGATTCATACTTTCTTACATGTTGATAACTGATCTTAGGTTATTTTTGTGCATTTTCAAAAAATGCAGTTTCTGAATATTTAATTATAGGGGATTTTTATATAACCGTCACACAGAACTTTTCATTTAGAAATTTGCCATATAATAAAAATTATATGTAAAGTCTGGAGTTTTAGGTGTGACTGATGCTAAATTAATAACCGTGTGGTGGTGGTGGTGGTGATGGTGAGAGTAAGAGTGAGGCAGATTGATTGGCCAGAGGCAGAGTTTGCAGGAAGAAACCCAAGTAATCCTGTTGAGGACATCACAACTTCCTTGAGTCTGGTGTCGCTGTAAATCAGCAGACGGATACCGACTTTCAGCCAAGAGTTACTCTGCCAGGTGACAAAGCAGGTCTTGATGCCATGTGGTTATCTCACATGTGGTCGATGCTTCTATTATGCCTTACAGTTAACAGATCAAAAGTTGAATGATGTATTAACCATGTATGCACTGACGAATGCTTGTTACTCTGGAATTATGCACTCTTTATTGACTGGACAATGACTGCTGACTGTCTGAATGCCTACTACAATCAGCCACATCGTGCCAACAGAGCTGACTGATGTCAAAAGTTCTCCTTACAGACGAGACAAGGGAGAGGTTATACAAGGTAAAAGCACCATCAGGTGCTTGTGGTTTTTCTCGGTTTTGCAAATGTAGACCACCTCTTTTGAAAGACCTCACAGAAGGTGTTTAAATAGCCCCCTCCCCCCTCCATTTTTTTCTTTTTTTCTTTTTCTTTTTCTTCCCCTCCCCTAAGTTTCCCTAAGTGAGAGCTTTACAGAGGATATACTCATGTCCTCCTTCTGGACCCTGCTTTAAGCTGAGTTTCATGACATTTCCTCATTAATAATGGGTTCAGCCGAGACTTGTGTATGGTCTGGCATCACTGTTTAGCCTCAACGTAAGGTGTTGACCTTTCTAGATAATCTGTTATGAATATAAATGGAGTTGGATAATATTGCTATCACTTTACCAGTTGAGGACAACATTTATAAACACATTAGGCTATTAAAAGTGTAAATGATTAGATTATCATAAAAGGTGAAATTCCATTGTGCTAGAAAAATAAATGTATGGAAATGAATTAGTGATAATGAGTAATTGAGGTATAGAGGACTAAAGGGAAAAATCATTGTGTGCAGTAATGGAAAACTTATTGGAACATCTTGTATGCGAGATGAATGTTATCATCTAATCTTGTTTCTGAAACTGCGT